GAGAAATTGATGCAGGTTAAGGCAATGGAGCTAATTGATGAGTTGGAGGTGAGCAGGCGAGGCCCTTATAGTGGGGGATTTGGTGGCATTTCCTTTACCGGGGACATGGACATAGCATTGGCCCTCAGGACCATGGTATTCCCAACTTCAACCCGGTACGACTCCATGTATTCTTACAAGGGTGCCAATATCCGTCAGGAATGGATAGCCCACCTTCAAGCTGGTGCTGGGATTGTGGCTGACAGTAATCCCGATGACGAGCTCTTGGAGTGCCAGAACAAAGCTGCTGGCCTCGCTCGTGCCATTGACCTGGCAGAGTTGGCATTTCTCAACAAATGATGTTATGGCTGTCAGGTAGGCTCTCCAATAGCCCCTAACCAGAAGAAATTGCCTTATATATATATGTATATATGCATATATATTTGTTTTTCATTTTATGGCCGTGGCAGGAAGAAATCGCTTGGGTCAGGGAAAAGGTTGGAAATGATGTAAAATATGTGTCTCCTACAGTCCTGCTCTAATGTTTTAAGAACAGGCTAAAAGCACCTGTTAAAAGAAAGTTTTATATCGTTACAGCGTTTTAAAGAGCATAAATCATCCTCTCAATTGGTTCACATGGCAGTTCTTATTTCCCACAAATTATTTTCTACTCTCTCTGTTCCTACCTACCAGATAGGCAATACCCTTGCCCCTAAGCAAAGGCCAAACAATTCCCACATTTCCTACTACCCTTATTAAAGAAAGGGAAGAGGCATTTCTAGGATAATAGGATTCAGAAAATTTGAGCATCCAATGATTGTACCATACTAAATTCATCCTAGAATAGAATGATTAATCTCAAGCAGTTCATCAGTAGAAATGAATCAAGTGAAGTAAAATTATGATGACTATTGTGTACATCAATCAGTCCACAAATCCTTATCTCTTTTGCAGACAATAGGGTCTAAACCAGTAGCACTTAATTTATCTTGAATAGGAAGCCTTGGGACACAATTTCATGGCCAACCCGTTCTGGGAAAGAACTGAGTCCTAAAAACAGTCAAATATGACATATTTCAAGAGATCATAACTCATTCTTGGCCTCAACTTATAAACTACTTAAAATCAAAGGCCCTGGAGAGCATCCACCATTAGTTCTCCCAAAAACATCAGGTTTCCACTCAATCCAAAATCATCAAAACCATTTCATTTCTATAAACTTGAGCACTAAGGAACCTATAAAACTGGCTGAATCCACAAAAAAAATTGCAGCCAACACACAGTCAAGCACTGAACTCATCCTACATATATCTCCATTACTCCTCCATCCCTAACAAAGACAATGTGATCCTCAATATGATTTCCTTTGCAGATCGTTACTACACTTATCCAAATTAACGGTATAAAATGACTCAATCTTAGCATAAAAACTAACAATATCACTTCATCTTATTTCTTATAAGCCAACATTTCGTGATCATAAGCAAATATGAGAAAGGAAAGTAATCTAACATTAATTGATCAAAGAAAAAGAACGGATGAAAAAATTGAGCAAAATCTAGTAAAGATCATCTTGAATTGAGCTCATTTCTCACTTAACAATTTCACTAAATAGAAATTTAATTCACAGTACGAGATCTCACAATTACCACATTCAGAGAGTATTCTTCATAGAAAAGCACAAACATTTAAACAAATAGGGAAAGAAAACGATATCAAAAGCAATTTACAAACACAAATTGAACAAGCGTTCAACTGCATAATCCGATCAAGATCGAGTCTCACCTGTTGATTCTCATCATCGCTTGCTATCATAATCAACTATCTCCGAATCAGTGACCGATCGCGAGTGCTGCACTATTGATCGTCCGATTGAGTTGATCCAATCCTCCTTCTCTTTCTCGGAATCGGCGATGAAATACATGGTCTCAGTCCTCGTGGACAGCTCGAAAGCGTACTGCTTGTTGAGGATATCCTCGGCGCCCTTGACTGTGAGGCAGGAGGCAACTGGAATAACACCGCGAGGACGGGAAGCGCGAGTGACGGAGGATTCCTTGAACCAGAAGAGCTTCCCTTGTTTTAGAACGAACCAGCGGCGGCGCCAGGTTTTGATGTACTCGCCTTGCTTGGTAAGCCAGCCAGTGCGCTCAGGATTGGACCAGAATTCTACGCCGTCGTAGTCGTTAGTCCTTTCCGTCAGCCCTGTTGCGGCCCGCCACAGGCTCGCCATCTGTGATCTGTATTTTGCGTTACCGTTGAATCGCCGGTGGAATGTAATGACAAGAAAGGAAAGAATATAAATCTAATTTATTGCGTGACAGCGTTTTATTCTCTTTGTATTGGTGACAAAAAAAATAAAAAGTATATCTCATACATAAGAAAAGAACAACACCAATTTGAGCCCATGAATTATGTACTTAGGCACATTAACCCTCTTTTTGTTTTTTTTTTCAAAAAAGAATATTAGCCATTGGACATCTAAAAAGATTAAGAGTTTTAGTTTTTTTTTAATAAAAATTTATTAAAATAACATAAATTTAAGTGTTTCTGATAACAAAAAATTATTTTACAAGATAAATTGTATGTAATTCATTTTGTAAAATTACTTAAATACTTTTAAATTTTATTTTATATTATTTAAAAAAATATTTAAATAATTTTATAGGGCGGACTGTGTAATAGTCCATCCCTAAAACAATAGTCTGTTTTGATAAATTATATAAATAACCACTCTACTCAACTTTTAATTTTTAATTGAAGATTACCTTTTTAATTTTTTTCGATGGCAAATGACCTCCTCTACTTATTGAACAAATAGGGTGGTAACATCATAATGATGTCGAAAACACCAAATAGCTTGTGTACAAATTGGTTACGTTAGATGATATTATCCATGAAATAAGGATTAATTTACCTAAACCAACAAGTAAAGGGAGTCATTTGCTATTGAAAAGAGTTAAAGAAGTGATCTTCAAACCAAAGTTTAGTAGGAAGCTGATTTGCATCATTTGTCTTTTTTTCTCTTAATGTTTTTAAAGACCTTACCAATAAAAACCCTTTTTTTTTTTTTTATCATATATATTAACAAAAAAAAAATACTTTTTTTTCATTATAAAAACGATAAATATAATTTTTCCTATGAGAATCGGGCCGGGCCCAACAGAAAGCCCATTAAAGGAATAAACGATCTCTGTACATTCGGAGTCTCGTTTGTTGTT